CATAATTGTATGACGTATCCATTACATTAACGTTTTACATAAAGAACTTAATAGCACTAATGCGTATTCTAAAACTACTGCTTCTGAAAAGACATTGTTAACAATCATGTTACTAATATTTCCAGTCTTTAAAGTCCGAATCGATGAAAAAGAACTAAAACTTCCTATTATGTATTGGATTCCTAAATTACATAAAAAAAACCTTACAAAGCCAGATTCATTGCTAATTCTACATCTAGCACAACAACTAAACTTTCTATTTTATTGACGTCTTGTTTGACTGCCATTAAAACACATGTAATTAGATACTGTGATAAAGTATACGAAAATACAGGCAAACATCTATTTTGGTCCATTAAGAATTCCGGTGAATTCTGGATAAATTAAAAATTAAGAGCTATCGGGCTTCAAACTGTCAGTACATACGATTTTTCTACCCTTTATACTACACTGCCACATAAATTAATTAATGATAAAAACTAATTTCCTTATTCAGAAAACCCTTTGCACGGGAAAAAGTTACATTTCTTGCATGTAACTCTCAAAAAGCCTTCTTTACAAACTGTATTGTTAAACAATATACTATGTGGACCTGTGACGAAGTTTGTAGAGCACTCTCTTTTTCTTTTAGACAATATTTATGTCAGGTTTGGTAATACCCTATTCAAACAAATTATAGGAATTCCTATGGGTACTAATTGTGCACCCCTGGTCGCCGATTTGTTTTTGTATTGCTATGAAAGAGATTTTATGTTAAGTCTCTCTGAAAATACACAACAAGATGTTATATCAGCATTTAATAACACTTCCAGATATCTTGATGACATTTTTAATTTAGATAATTTCGTTTTTTTGATCAAATGGTGTCTAATATTTATCCTACGGAGCTACAACTTAATAAAACGAATTCTTGAAATTTAACTACATCATTTTTGGATCTTCATATCACTATCAAAAACAATTCGATTCACACGAAAATTTATGATAAAAGAGATGACTTTGATTTTAGTATAGTAAATTATCCTCATTTGGATGGAGACGTACCGCACGCAACATCTTACGGAGTTTATATATCTCAGTTAATTAGATTTGCTAGAGCTTGTAGCGACGTAAAGGATTTTAACGAGCGAAATATTTTCATTACCGGTAAGCTATTAAAACAGGGCTACCGCTATTATAAATTACGTAAATATTTTACAAAATTTTACAATCGTAACTTTGATTTAATTTCAAAATTCAATAGTGATCTAAAAAACACTTCTGCGACAAGGGATTAGCCAGCCTGATTTTTACGGTGATGTTGTTTACAAACTTCGTAAGATCTTGGGTCATTGTAATTTTTCTGTTGTGTTTACTAAAATTATAAAACGTTTTATTAAAAGGGGTTATGACCCTACTATCTTAAGACATACCGCATGCTTAGTGTTCAACCCATTTACAGTTGGACACTACGCTTTCCTCTTTTGATTACATCTGACGGGCCAAGTGGGAGACTATATGAATGGACAGTTCTTAAAGCCCTTTGGGACTGAATTGCCTTAATGTTTTTGTCTTCTGTCTTGCTTCGTCGGGCCCTTGTAGGTGATTTTCTTGTTGCTCTGTCTTCCTTTAAGACATCGAGTACTTTTGTTATGGTCATTGGGTTTACTTTTATATGTTTCTACATGATCATTTTGGTGTTTTACTTATTTAACCTTTTGTAACCATAAACAACTGTTAGAATTTCACTTGGCGGGGATTCATTTTATTTACACTGTCTCGTTTATAGGAACATGGTGGGGCTAAGAGCGAGGTTTGGTGCACCATTAACCGGTTTAAACTCCCCAGTAGTCATTATTATGCTGCTGACCGTTCCAAGGCGGCGCCCCTCTGTGTTCCTCAGATGTATGTCTATGTTGTTTTATACTGATTTGGTGACACTTTTGCTCGTGTCTCTTGTTGTTTCTCGTCTACGGTAAGTATCTTCCCTTGTCCCTAGTTTTTATTTATTTTATTCCCCCCCCCTTCCCCGTGTCTCATGTCCCCTTCCCCTGTGCCTTTTGACATAATGGGCCTTATATTAAATCATTTATTTGTTTTGTTTTAGTTCCTTATAAGTTACTAATTATGTATTCTGATGTAGTGGTTTGCCTGCCCGTACTCTGCCTTGTGCCCTGTCCTGTTTTTCTTTGGAGTCCTCCTGGGCTCCTTGCCGCTGACGCTTGTTGCTGGGTCGGATGGGGGCTGCGTTCATTGAATGCCGCCTTTCCTTGTCGATCTTGTTTATCATATTTTCTTAATATACTCCACTGAATTTCATTATAACCAAAAGCGTCAAACTTTATCCATATACTGTGTTACACTCTTTCATTGTAGAATCTACATGAATGCGTTTATGCTGATTTCTTTAATTTCACTTTGTATATAGAACTAGTATAAGTTCTAAGCCTTTTAATTATTAAAAATTTAAAACTTTAATGTCATATTATATCTATTTGATTTCATACATGAAAGAATGTGATGTATTGTTAAACATGCAATACAAATAGTGTTAGCTTGTTTCGAGATAACACAAATAAGAAAAGTATAATCGCGGCAGCGAGTATTTGTGGGTGTTGTAAAACTGTCTGTTATAAACCCTGAACTATAAATAGCATGCAGTGTTAACCTGCAGAGAGAATGTAAACAAAACAGCTGATTTTACACAGGAGAGGTTTAATGGATGTTTTATATAACTCAAAGATTAATTAAAGACATTATTTTGAAGTCAGTTGTTTTTCTTCACTGGAATGCTGCATGTGTCCTTCATCAAGTCAGACAATTATATCCAAATCCAAAAGATGTGCCTTACGTAGGAACAACATGCTAAAATGTTCTTGACAGGGATTTAAAATATCTTTAAGCTGTTAATGAATAAAATTTTTTATGCTTATATGCAATATTCAGTTTCCTTTACTGAAATGTAGTTTTTGACTACAAAATATTTACAACAAAATATAGTGTAAATGAAATATACCTGGATGTAACTTTTACTGTTTTCATGAAGGTTAAACCATTCAAATACAAGTTAAATCAGTACTTTGAAATTTAAAAAAAAAATCTTATATTAATGGATTATTGTAAATTTGTTGGATTTGATAAAAAAAAGTCAGTAAACGTTTGTTTTTTTTCTTATCATGTATTCAGCATTCCAATGTGTCGTCTGCTGAAAATCTCCTTCCCTGAAATATACATGGTTTGCTACAAATATCTCTCCCTGAAACAAACAGTGCCACGTGCTTCTGTTTACTATTGAAGGTTCATGACCTGTAATGATCACATGGCTCCTCCCAGGGAAATTCAAATTTCAAATTTGACAGCCAGTATTTTTTTCCAGAAATACACTTTACAATGTTATATTTTGAATAATTTTGGTCAATCTTTATCAAAAATATATATTCCTACAAACATGCCAAGTGTTGTTTTAATGCATTTGGTAATTAATCTTAAATCTTTGAAAAAGGGTCCCTGAAGTGAAGCATGCATAAAATTAATACGAAAACTGCCCTAGCGCCATCTGCTGGCTTTTATAAAATATACGTATATTAGTGATATAGCCCTTATCTCTAGATTCTATATATATATAATTTTTGTATAGAGATAAGGGCTACTGTAACTATCAAGAGATCAACAGGTCGCTTTGTGTTCTCTATGTTAGTTGAAGAAATTAATCAACCTCCTAAGAAGCATTCAAATATATGAGAGTCAAAAGTCGGTCAGTTATCTAAATACTCTAGCAGCATGGCGGCCATTGTCCGCGGAATGAAAAAACAACATCACTTGCATAAAGATATTTTAAATTATTCTAAAAATCATTTACGGAAAATGCTCACTCAAGATTATTGAGTACGGTAACGTATTATTTTGAAAATGAATGCAGTCATAATAATAATAATAATAATAATAATAATAATAATAATAATAATAATAATAATAATGATGATGATGATGATAATAATACTAATAATAAATTAATAAATAAATAATAACTTTACACATTAAGACATATACAGATTGTAACACCATATCAAGGACTTATTATCAGGAAAATAGGAAGAAAATACGCTATAAAAATAATATAAACTCATAAAAAGTTTCTTGAAAGAGCTTCACACGTTGTTTTTCCTTCAACGAAGGTCTAACGTGTACTCCGAAGTATTCGTTATTTAACGACAGTTTAGTTAGAAATTTTGGTATAACGAACGTTTTAGGTTAGAGGGTAAATTACTAACTAGATCTTACTCTAACGAATGCTTGTGGTTACTCACCCCTGCTGGTTCGGATTGTACTTTATGCGCCAAAATAATAATTATTTTCTGTAAGACGAATACGTGTATGTTACATTTCTTCTTGACGTAAAGAAATGTAAAGTGTATTGTTGAAATACTAGTGCACTGCACAAGTACATGACTACTGCAATATATACAATACACAGGATAAAAATATTATTACCGGTATATTAAAATCATACGATAGTATAACAAAACTACCTTTATTTTCAAATGCATGTTCATCTTTAGTAAACTTGGAAAAAATAGGGAAAAAGTTAGAAGTGAGACTCAAACTCGTTAAAATTTTCAGTTATATTGCTTCCCGATGACTTAACCAACTTTGTCATCAAGATATTTAAAATTCATTTTTTTTATCTTGAACTGAAAATCCTGTGAACAATAAAGTAAAGGGAGCTTATCAGGACATAAGATCAATAAAATGAAGCGTGCGTGATTTAGTGCCCTTGTTAACCTATTTATAGAAATGATATAAAAGTGAAGGATAGCCAAAGGGAAGCAACCTGTAGATCTTAAATTTATAACTTAATTCATTTATAAAAATGATAATTGCTATAAGTTACACCCCTGACTGTACTATGAACATGTCTGCTATAATAAGTATAAGACCCAGTCCACTTTGCAGTAAACAACAATAGTCGGTACACCGTAAGTAATAATTTATTGACAAGTAAAAGAAGAATTTAAACAAATTTAAATGTTCAGTTGTTTTTGATACATTTGTACCTTTGTTACATTTTGCCCCCCGCCCCCCAAAAAGACGTGTTGTTAATAAAATGGATACCGTTAGATATTGTTCATGCCGTTTTAATCTTGAGAAAACCTAAAAGAGAAGAGCTCTCTCGGAAGCAATGAAAACTACGTAATGATATACAACTTGCAGAATTGGTTTAATTGGGTCTATTCATGAGAAATAAATAAATGTAAAGTACACCATGTCTGACGCCCCCTAGCACCGACTTAAGAGGTATTCCATCTTCAACAATTAATGTGCTGAAATCAATGATTGTGAATGATTATATTTTTATTAAAACACTGCTGTGAAGCTTGACATTGGATGTTATGAAAATAAAATCTGAAGGAATGACGATTCTTCAGAAGCAAAGAAAGCAACAAATTTACTGATACAAATTACAGATTCGATTTGAGTTTGTGATCTCTGATCAAACTTTGACATCTACATTTACAGAACATGACCACTTTTTATTACTCACGCCGGCTGCAAGAAATTTGATATCGCCAGGAGACAAGTTTATTTCCACCGTGTTGGCTGTTGAGATATTTATATTCACCTGTCTAAATAAAAGACGTAAAGTCAATGACGTATTGCAATCATTAAATGAGTCATACACAATGCCGCTTTCGTTAAATTGTTCGATGACGTAAAGACATGCATCACCGTCAACATTTATTGAAGTAACGTTATGTTGCAAATTGGAATATAGAATACTTTTCATCACGTATTCCGCTCTTGGAGTATTCAGAGCTGTCCTGTTTGCATCACGTTCATTGAGATCATTACATATACATAACTGCGCTTCGACGTCTTTGTCTGAACAGCTGGAATATTTATCATACGGTGTCACACGTTCGTATTTGCTGCGTGAAACATTTAAGTCTTTAATTATAACACTTATAAAAAAAAATTCATCCACAGTCTGTCCATCTGTTTCCACATATAAATCCATTTTCGTTGTTTTTGTAAAATTCTGAAATGTTATTAAATTTTGAAAGTTCATATCGTAATTAAATATTATGGATTAAAACGATGAAAAAGTAGTGAAATACTATTTGAATGACATTTTTTAATGTTTTAGATAAAACGAAATTATGCTCAGCATATTTTTCTTCACAAAAAAAACAAAGTTTTGAGCAATGTGGCCATACCACGTGACTTTTCGGGTACGGAACACGCCGATTTTTCACCCGATTCAGGTATGTTTTTTATTCATAACTTATTTATTACTCAACCGATTTTGATGAGATAAGGCGCAGAGTACCCGTAATTATATCAGTTATCCACGGTATATCAAACTTCTGAAAACCCCTGAATGGTTTTTGAGAACATTCGAGTACAGTTTTCTTTTCATAGCCTGGGCCGAGGGGAACGGTACACACTCATTTGGGATAACAGGCGATTTCTAGCAAGTCATATGTTTTTTGACACTATTTCATAGACAAATACATGTTAAATCTAATAAATTTACTATGTCCAATGTATCGAGTGAATGCAGTGATGTTTTAGCATATTTTCATAAAGTGATGTTGAAATGGTACGGAACACACTGTTATCTCAAAAGATACGGTACACACACAATTTCTGTCTTTGTAATAATTCTAAAATAAAATATATAAAAAAAATAATTTAAATTATAATGTGAGTGATTTTTTTCATAGTTATACATTTTATTAATTTTAACGAGAACCCTGGGACCTGTTCTGCAAATTATCATTATGCCTACAGTTTGATGTAAACAGGATTATTCAAAAAATAAAAGAACATTTTGAGAGTACGTTGCGCAAAATTCTATTTTATATGTTGAGCAATTAATATTTGGCTATAAAATGTTAAAATTTTAGGGAGGGATAAGGAAGACATTCAAAATTTTGTTTTGTTTTGATTTTCATTTGAAACAATTAGGTATATTCTTTTGGATTATAAAACGAATTGTGAAATTCATGGACATCTGTTATGTGCGATAATTATTTCATTTAATTTGTTTGTCCGAATATATAAATGACTGTCTAAACGTAGTATGAATATATAAACAAACAAGAAGTTAGGTGTAAGTTGGAAATATATGTTCCTTGCAAACTGTTGTTTAAATAATTGAATTTGGAGAGAAAACGCTGGTTTTGATGTAAGTGGATTTTTTTAAATCACAGAAAGTTTAAAGTTTTTTTCGGCCACATGATATTTGGAATGAATCATCTGCCAGCGTCCCAAACTAACTGCATGTATCTAAATTATCAAATTATCACATATGGACAAATATATTTCGCAGTTTTACGTGCAATCAAAATTAATATGATAATTTGAAGAACCAATATGGGAACAAGGCCTGTTATATAACGTAACGTAGTTTATACAAGGTAACCTTGATACATATACATGTTAGGAAATTTGGTAAAATTATGCCTATCTTGGACTTTCATTTCAAGGTGCATTTATCACTTGAGTTCATGGGTATGTGTGCTTGCGTGTTTGTGTTAAAAGCTGGAAATGTGTCCATAGGACACGGATGCCCCCACACTCCACTGTTCTGTCAATCTTATGACTCTAGGTCAAATATATTTTGGACTACATGTGCCACAAGTTGAAATCTAAAAATCAACAAAGGGCCATAATTCTGTTAAATTTGGTCGCAGCAAAAATTCCTTCCTTTACTACCATCTACACATTAAGGTTGTTCATCCCTGGAAGTTTTAGCAAAATCTGTCATCCGGTTTAAGAGGAGTTGCGTTCACAAAATTTCTACATAGTATATAGTGAAAACTCAACAAAGGGCCATAATTCTCTTAAATTTGGTCGCAGCAAAAATTCCGTCATTTACTACCATCTAAACATTAAGGTTGTTCATCCCTGAAAGTTTAAGCAAAATCTGCCACCCGGTTTAAGAGATTTGCGTTCACAAAACTTCTACATAGTATATAGTGAAAAAATCAACAAAGGGCCATAATTCTATTAAATTTGGTCGCAGCAAAAATTCCTCCCTTTACTACCATCTACACATTAAGGTTGTTCATCCCTGGAAGTTTAAGCAAAATCTGCCATCCGGTTTAAGAGGAGTAGCGTTCACAAAATTTCTACATATTATATAGTGAAAAAATCAACAAAGGGCCATAATTCTGTTAACTTTGGTCGCAGCTAAAATTCCTCCCTTTACTACCATTTACACATTAAGGTTGTTCATCCCTGGAAGTTTAAGCAAAATCTGTCATCCGGTTTAAGAGGAGTTGCTTTCACAAAATTTCTACATAGTATATAGTGAAAAAATCAACAAAGGGCCATAATTCTGTTAAATTTGGTCGCAGCAAAAATTCCTTCCTTTACTACCATATACACATTAAGGTTGTTCATCCCTGGAAGTTTAAGCAAAATCTGCCATCCGGTTTAATAGGAGTTGCGTTCACAAGATTTCGGGACGTACGGACAGACGTACGGACGGACGGACAAGTGCAACGCTATATGCTCCCACTCTGTGGGGGCATAATAAAACGATATTTTAATAATACCCATTTTGTCAATCAAATGCTATGGATTTTGGAGGCTGCGTTCTGTTTTATATACTACATGAAGTAGGTATGAGACTGCAAGTGACTCCGATGTTTCGATTTTTTATGTGAGAAAGTTTTCTTACTACCGTACAGAATGTCGGTCGTTTAACTCAGGTGCCCGTTCGTTCCTTTATTTATACCCAAAAGGGCACTTGTAAAACTCGAAAGTCGCCACATGATTATGTCAGTTTTATGAGCCGTGACACCAAACCAAAAATGACCTAATTACATGAATTAAAAGTTATTTTTAAAGCTTCATGCCTTTAAACATTAAAAATTTAGGCAATGGCGACTACATTTTTATTTGTTTGGGTCGTCAGACCAAACAAATAATGGTAGCGAAATTTCAGGCTCTGATATGCTTATTTGCAAAATAAGAAAGTAGTCCGAACCCCTGGAAGCGGTTACTTACCTTTATATATGTACTCTAACGCTGACAAATTAAGGGGAGATCACTGTGTTAAGATTGTCAAATGACGGGCGCATTAATTTTCAAGCCTTCTCGGGAGAAGAAAAAGTAGTTCCCGATTGGTCAAAGATTTCAAATATTGTGTAATTCTTTCCAATATACATGTAATTTTAAGCACCATGATTATTTACATCAGTGTCAAACGAAATTAATAAGTGTTACAAACTCTAATTTAGAATGATATGGTTTTCTTCAGGCTGATATCCTATAACTTCCCCGTGGTCGAGGGGTTACACGCTCGTTTAGGAAGAGATATGTCCTGAGTTCAAATCCAAGTTAAGGCAACTCATGTTTTTTGTGTGTTTTTTTAATTGTTTAAGCCAAATAAACAATGAATTACATATCAGTGTTGCAATAAGCCTTATAGCCAATATACTACAGTTATGACACTAGAAACAACATTGGTGGCACTTTACAAAAACAAATTGGTTTACAATCTCACAGCCTTCACCTTTCTGACATTCTGAGACCCAAACAAATTCAGCGCCTTCTGTGATTTGATTTAATTAAACATGACCATGGTATTGCAAAATTGTACCTAATGACTTGCTTATTATTAACAAAATATAAATATATATAAATTGTTATCAAGTAATGATACTTTTCAGCGATTTAGGTCATGACCTTGTTTTATTTTTTCAGGATGAAGCAAAAAGACATATCTTACTTCACTTATAAACTAAAAGAAATAAAAAACAACAATAAACACAGCATTATATAACAACATTTTCTTTCCACAGAGCGCAACTACCTGATTCTGTTTAGATCGAAGTGTTTAACATACCCTAGGTGATTTTAAATAGGACAATTACATGGAGGTTGTAAATGTTAAGCGTGATCTCTTGAAATATAGTGCACAAATACATATAAACATTAAAAGTAAGTATGATACATTGCAAAACAGGTTCCTGGGTTCTCGTTTAAATTAATAAAATGTATAACTATGAAAAAAATCACTCACATTATAATTTATATTAAATTTTAATATATATTTTATTTTAGAATTATTACAAATACAGAAATTGTGTGTGTACCGTATCTTTTGAAATAACAGTGTGTTCCGTACCATTTCAACATAACTTTATGAAAATATGCTAAAACATCACTGCATTCACTCGATACATTGGCCATAGTAAATATATCAGATTTAACATGTATTTTTCTATGAAATAGTGTCAAAAAACATATGGACTTGCTAGAAATTGCTTGTTATGACAAATGAGTGTGTACCGTTCCCCTCGGCCCAGGCTATGAAAAGAAAACTGTACTCGAATGTTCTCAAAAACCATTCAGGGGTTTTCAGAATTTTGATATACCGTGGATAGCTGATATAATTACGGGTACTCTGCGCCTTATCTCATCAAAATCGGTAGAGTAATAAATAAGTTATGAATAAAAACATACCTGAATCGGTGAAAAATCGGCGTGTTCCGTACCCGAAAAGTCACGTGGTATGGCCACATTGTTGAGGATGAAGTCTTAAGAAGTGCGTCATGTGTATTTATAGCTGATACTTTTATACTTTTATAACAAAAAAACCCTTAAGTTTCCTAGTTAGAAAGATAAATTATTTTGATCCACATTGGACTGATTCACTAAAAATACTTACATTTTTACGATTTTCTGCAACATTCTTAATCTTCTGCACTTTCATTCTTTTGCAATTCTTGAAACCACCAAGATAAGTTTCTGTTCTTTCCACGGAACCACCGGAATTTTGCAATTGCTGTTGTATATTATTATTCATCATGCCTACAGAATAGACCGCGAGAAGAAATTATATGACTGGTCTTTAGAGGAAGCATCGTACCCTTTACAGATGCAAAGGTTCGGCATTATTCTTGGCATGATGCTGCAAGTTCTTGAAGCTGATATTTCTGTGAGTAGCCCCTCTTCAGATACATTGAATTGTTTGTTAAAGTCATTGACATCATTGTCTAAGCTTGTTTCAGAATTTTTTTCATTCTGCAATAGTTGAATGATGTATGAAATAGTATAATGGAGGTCTAATAAACTTATCAATCGATTCTGGTTGATCTTCAGGGCTTGCATTTGATTGGCAGAAAGCATGGACTGAACTGATTTTGGTATAATCATGAAAAGAAAGGGATTGAATACTTCTAATACTCTGTTGGAATTTCTACCTTGGCTATCTCGGTATGCATTGCCATGATCGGAGAACACTATAGTTAATGTGTTGTCCATGCCACTTGAAAACTTCAAATACTCCGCTAAATCACTATCAATGTATTGATTTCTTTTGCCTCCAAGTTCATGAGCTATACTTGATACCATGTATGATATGAAAGGTTTGGCCCTATGGTTCATGGTCCTTTGAAACATCTTTAGATATGAAAACAAATATGAATGATGATGTCTCCCGTTATAACAGATTGTCTTTGAATTAAAGGGGTTACTCATCCCGTTAGATTTAAGAATGTTACAGCTAGCTAACGTGTTCCCAATATCGTCAATTCCTACTTTTCTACATGTATCTAAAAATTTCATATAAAAAGATTGTTTATCCAAAGTTCTGTTTAAAACTAGCAAATCTCTTGACAATCCCCATCCTGTGAATGGGCACATGTCTTCCAACCAAAGACTTGAAAAATCCAGCTCCCTCAATGGCGAAAGCCATTTCGCTACATTCAGCTTTTCTTTCGACAAATCATTTATTCCAAACGGAACTTCATACGGGTTTACATAACCGGAAAAGAGAGCTTGCAAAGTTTCGAACGTTCTCGAACGAATTCCTTTATTCTAACTCAAAATCTAGAACCATTGCATCTTCATGCTCAGTTGTAATCTCGTTTAAAGCCTTTACAGACCTAGGTAAAGATCTGAAGAAGTGGACCCTTGAAACAGAATCTATCATTATAAAATTCAAATTCATATGGTTTTGTTCTCTGAGACTTTTGCGTTTGGCTTTATGGTTAGTCCTTTGCGGCGGGGGTGGTAGGTTTAATATCTGTGGTTCAAAACCATGACTATGGAGCGTTAAACATGAAATAAAACAGAATCGTGTTGTACTACTTTGAATAAGATTTGCAATTGATTTTTGAAGATCTTCTTTGTTTCCATACACTTTCCAATTAATTCTGTCAATTGTTTTTGTCCCAAGGTACACCTTCTTACCACATGATGTAATGTTACAGTGCACACCCCACTGATCAGGAGTGCCCTGAAATACAACACTTATTAATCATCGGATGGTATTAAAAGGTAAAATTATTTACTATTATTCACAAGAAAAGAGCGGATAACCAACTTCATTTCATCCCGAAGAAATGGAAAGTAGTAATCGATCCAGGGTATTTAAAACTGTGAGCAGAACTGTGATCTTTGGCCTAGCATCAAATGTCTTATCTATTAACACGTGATAAATACAAATATGTTTGTGTATTCATTAGTCTGCTGGTGACCACTGTCAGTACACATTTTTAAAGTTTCCCAGTTTCTATAAAGAAGAGATACAGGTAGATTTGTTAAGGTTGAAAGATGGACAAGTCCATTTAAAATGTAACGTCTAAAGGGTTCAATAGTTTAAATCATCTAAGGTCTAGAAGGTCATCTATCAAGTATTCATAAGTTAAGTATCAGCCAGGACTGTTCTTTTCCAAAAGAATTGCTGACATTTCGATAAAGAAAACCAATACTGTTTGTGGGGAGCTGGTACATGGCACCGACATTGTAATGTCCTTATTGCAACTTTCCAGCTTTACAGGTGGAGGAAAACCTCATGAGCCCCACCTGCGTAGAACCACAAACGTTCTGTTCGGACAGCGGGGAGGAGCATTTGGCATAAAGCCGACGTCTTTCAACACTCGGCGTCGGAAGTGCTATATGGTCAATAAGAAAGTAAGAACTTACGGTGATGCTGCAAAACTGTTTTGCCCCGCTCTTCCTGCATGCCACCTCTATATCAATTGCGTATGGATTATAGAGATTAAAGTGACAGTCACGTGATAGGAACGGTTGCTTCTTACATTGAGTCATTCCATTGATTTTACCTCGCCGTCTGTTCTACAAAAGTTGATTTTTTAAAGAATTTTGTTATCAGGTATACAAATTGATTGTAATTGATGAATAGTGACTGACTTACTTGTAATAACGAAAACTTACTATACATGACACATTGTTATCTCAATGTACATGTTAGTATGGTTCGAGATTAGAATTCTTTTGTAAATTATTCTTTTAATGTGATTTGTTATAAGTATGATACAACATAAAACATTTTGATATGTTATAATTGTAATTGATTAAGGTACTAGATGTAAAATTGGCAGTGGTTCAAAAGACATTATTAAACATTACATATTTTTTACACAAATACAAAACAAAACAAAATTTCATCATCTTGTTTGAAAAGAAGTGACAATTTAAGTAACACTTTTGTATCAGTTATATAGAACAACAACAACAAAATTAATAAGTTTTCATCAGTTTAAGAATAACATCTATATCCGAATTTCTTGATATTGACTTGTCCAGTTTCATTTACATTTACACTTTACTTTTGGAATCTCAAGTAGAACATTTGCTAACAATAAAAGGCCAGGTCAGACGCCCACAATATAAAGCTGCAAAGGTTACTAACTTTCGGTTTGAGCAGGGTAGGGGAGAGGGTGGGGGTAAATGCTGCGGGTCTGAACAATAAAGATATGATCATTTTGTTATAATTATGCTGTGATCATACTAGTATCACTATGAATTGCATTTATACACACTATAAGTCGTTGTAAACTTGTTTCAACCATTGTACTTATTGGGTAAGTACCGGGAACAGGAAGGAAAGATAACAGAACCAACGTCCAAATAAAATGAGTTAGATTAAAGCTGTGTTTTATAAACAACTTGACCACACACGAACAGGAAAGTCTTGTATGATAACGTTCATACTAAGACCGTACTTAACGTTCACTTACATGTCTACTTCATAAGATACATGTAAAAAATTACTTAATAAATAAGTGGAAAACGTATAATAAACGTATAAATACTAAAATAATACCTTCAGTCGTATAACAGTACATGTATTTCTATAATTTTTTCTAGCAATATATTTATGTTGATTTTTCGTCTTACTCGCATCAGCCCTTTGAATGGTCCTTTTTTGTTCCGATTGATTGCTATTTATAGCCGTCACATCTCTAGTTTCACTCCGCCCACTTTGCTCTGATTGGTAGCTATTTATAGTAGACGAAAACCGATGTGTGATCACAAACATGGCAAGTATGATTACCACAACGAAGAGCAGTAGAATTTTAAGACATTTCTTCATCCACATTATCATTGTACATGTATAAACTTCCCTACTTTGTTAAGAAATTCACCAACCTTTTAAAAAAGAAAAAAAAACAATTTGCAAAAATTACTCACTGATACCTTTTCAGACATCGTCGGATACCCACTATTGATAAACATGTCACATAACATGCAATCAAAGATAAATCAAAGATAAATGTTAATGGTTCGGTCGTGGGTATCCGACGATGGCTATTTATAGCCGTCACATCTCTAGTTTCACTCCGCCCACTTTGCTCTGATTGGTAGCTATTTATAGTAGACGAAAACCGCTAGGTGATCACAAACATGGCAAGTATGATTACCACAACGAAGAGCAGTAGAATCTTAAGACATTTCTTCATCCACATTATCATTGTACATGTATAAACTTCCCTACTTTGTTAAGAAATTCACCAACCTTTTAAAAAAGAAAAAAAAACTATTTGCAAAAATTACTCACTGATACCTTTTCAGAGTGTGTAGTGTTGATCTGTTAACAGAAAACGTTTTCTAGCATAAGCAATCTAATATGGCACGAGTACAAAATAAACGCAGGTAAAGTATTCAGCACGCACAACTTATTTGTACTAATTGTTCTATGAAATAGGTGTTTCTCTGTGAAAACTAAATCCGTGTTTTCGAGTCTCCGTTTGTGGGAAAATTGGTTCATTCGGTTCATTAAAAGCCTATATACTATGACATGCAATATTGCGCAAATATAAGTGAAATATCTTAAATCAATACATTACATTTACGAGAGACTGAGTTTGCATTGTTTGCTTTTTTATCTATAATATCAACAAATATCTGTTAATAAGATATCATTTAATAATTAGAATAATTATGTCCTCGGATTATTCAGTATAACAGATTTCGCAAGTGACGAATAAGCTACAATAAGTGACCCCATATGGGCCTGCCAACTTTGATCCAAGAGGGATCCAAGACACGTACTTTTTCTAGAAGAGGAACATGCAGTTATTATTATCTGTGCATTTTCATGTAAGAATAGCGCTAATTAATGCACCTTTTCCTTGGCTTATTGAATTCCTCGCCTGAGGGCATGTGCTTTAAATGCATCCTTGTGCTTCTGCAGATCTTAATACACGAAAACAGATGCATTTACCATATAGCTATAACCTTTCATTCTATTTTATTTGTGACGATTGCAGTAAGAAAGCCACTGAGGATATTAAGTTAACTCAGACATAACATTTGCCTCAATTGTTCAGCAGATAGTAATTAAGATCAACACAGATAATCAATATCTGGATTAACGAGTCTGGATGCGATATTATTGTCTAACTAAATTTATTAATCCCAAAAGACAATAGCTATGGAGGATATTGCGATTCTTTTGTAATAGATAATAAAAGTTCAGACATTAATGACGAGATATAACATGATTAGTCATATACATGTATGTGTCGTTATATGGCATTTCCCTAATGCTTCTGGAGCAGAAAGTGTAATGGTTTTTTTATCATGATTGCACGAGATAAATCAATCTTGATGAATGATATAGCGTATATATAACCTGTAACAAAATCTTTAATGACTACAAAATAGAAAATGTCTCTATTACGATTATTTGAAAATAAGCTAGGCATGCCTTTGAATTTCACCTTTAGTTAAGAAATACGCTAGAATCTGTATAGGGTAATAAGATTAATTCTATTGTATTGTATTCTATACACAGCTGTGTTGTGCAGTGCGGTGCTGTGTTGCTCTGTGTGCTGCACGTGCTGTGCCGCACGCACAAATATTCAAAATGCACACACATCACTCAACATCTCGTCTTGTTAAGCTAGCAACTTATGTACCTAAATATGAATCCAAGTTAATGATAATTAGTAATTTTATTTTTTGTTTTAATTGCTAAATTTACTAAAATTTTGGAGCCCGCATTTACTTTAGCCAAAAAATGTCAGACATTTAAGTATATAAATAATACCATTTTTATCATTAATTAAACAAAAAACATTGCATTAAAATAATTATTTATGCATATTTGCTAATGCTATGAGAAAGTTACCTTGATTTAACTTCAATTTCTTGTCCAAAATCCTTAATTAACTTGTACCTGTTTTTTACAAAATAGCACTGGGTTAACTATAATAAACACGGCTCCGTATCATGTTGCACCCGTTACACAGAGTGAAAAGTAAAATATTGATTCATACGAATCGTGCTACAGCAATCACGTATCTATACAAATTTGGTTATAAATAGTTTACTAATTATTCAAATAAAGTACATTGTCAATTGGATATTGACTGATATTTTACAAGTTTAACAGTTAAATGTTAATCAACAGTTCAAAAAGTAGTCCTACTAAAAAGGTATCTGGTTAAATTCATTTACAAATTCACGCACCAAAGTTTAATGTTATAAAGAATATCCCTCGTATGCTTTTGCTCAGATATCAGGTGTTTGATTTGTCAAAAGCCAGAATA